ATCTTATACCTAAAAGACTACATATGAGAGAAAATTATCCACTCATTGTTAACCGGCTTACCTTATACCTAAAAGCACTACATATGAGAGAGAAAATTCTCACACTCAATTATTAGCTGGCTTGTGTTATACGTAAAAGGATTATATATGATAGAGAAAATTCTTATTCTCAATTGTTAGCTAAACTATCTTATACCTAAAAGCACTACTTATGAGAGAGAGAAATCTCTCGCTCAATTGTTAGGCAGCTTATGGCTTAATCTTTTTCATATTTAAAATCTTATTCCTAAGAGCATTGTATATGAGAGAAAAAATTCTCCCGCTCATTTGTTCACCGGCTTATCTTACCTTATACTCCGTATTAAAAAGCAAGATAGAAAGCTCAATTGTTCAATTGTTAGCAAGCTTATCTCCTTAGCTTCCTATAACTAAAAGCAATACAAATTAATCAAAGAGAATATTATCATACTCAAATATTAGCCAGCTTATCTTAATCTTAAACTTAAAAGACCTACATATGAGAGAGAAAATTATTCCACTTAATTGTCAATAAGCTTATCTTCTAATACCTAAAACTCTAAAAATACTACATATGAGAGAAAAATTTCCCTCTCCGGTTCATCCACTCAATTGTTAGCAAGCCTATCTTCTAATACCTAAAGTACTAAATATGAGAGAGAAAATTCTTCCTCTCAACTATTAGCAGGCTTATTTTTTACTTGAAATTAAAGAACTACAAATGAGAGAGAAATTTTTCCCACTAAATTGTTAGGTGGTCTATCTTCTTATACCTAAAAGCACGATATATGATAGAAAACATTCTCCCGCTCAATTGTTAACTGCCTTATGACATAATCTTCTTATACCTAAAATCTTATACCTAAAAGTACTACATATGAGAGAAAAAAATTTCTCAATCCTTTTTAATCGGCTTATCTTACCTCTAAAAGCATTACATAATTAGAGAAAAAAAATTGGCCGTTCAATTGTTAGCCAGTTTATCTTATCTTGTCTTATACTTAAAAACACTAAATATTAGAGAGAGAAATATTCTGCACAATTGTTAGCTGGGTTATATATCTTATACCTAATAGCACTATATATGAGAGACAATTCTCCCACATCTTCCACAAATGTGTAATGATTCACCCATTTATAATTTTTTCCCTCGTCTTCCACATCTTCATTCCTTAATTACATAATTGTGATTATGTAAATTCAGTTTTTCAATTTTGAAAAACAATTATGTTTACTAAAAGTTAATAAGGCATATGTTTATCAACTATCCATATCTTGGTCATATATTAGAAACTTTTTCTTTATTTAATACAGATAATTCGTATTTACGTTATAAAATTAGAAGGCTGTTTAATAATTGTTCAGATTTTTTTGAATTTTATATATGCAATATTGATGTCATATGAAAGATCGTAAACAATTATGAAATTGGATATGATTTTTGTAAAAATTGGATTAAAAATGAAAAAGTTATAACACTTTCATATAAGAGCTATTTGTTTTCTTATATATAAAAGAAAGAAATGCAATTCATGGGCCCAATGTATAAAAACCTCTTTTTTCTTTAAAATGTTATAACTTTTCTTTTTTACTTCAATTTTTACAAAAAGTATATCAAATTTTATAATTTTTCAAGATCTTTTATTTGACATCAATATTGCATATATAAAACTTTAAAAAAATTGAAGGTTAATTAAGCAACATTTCTATTTCCAACCTCGATATGGATTATTCAGCATTAAATAAATACTTTCTCCGCCCCACTACAATTGTCTCACTTTTCTTATTTCCCTCTATCCCACTAAATTTGTTTCATACTATATTTGGTAATATTTGTGTGACTCTAATCCATTCTTACTTTAATCTCACTATCAACCACATACTTTCTCCGACTTCATTTTGATAAAACTCTAAACACAACTATAGTTACTAAAAAACTAATAAGTCATATTTTTATCAATTAGGCTTGTTTTGATCATATATTATGAATTACTGTATTTATTTACAAAACATATATTAAAATATATCGTACCTTTTTTATTATCTTTCATATAACACTGATATTTTATATACAAATAAATAAAATTAATACTTTAAAAAATATATGTTCTTTAAAGCGAAACTCCGTGTAACTTTTTTTTATTTGTACTCCGATTGTTACAAAACGTATATCACAATTCACGATTAATAAATTTGTATTATCATTCATATGAAATTATATTTTAAAATATATTGTATTAATTAATAAAATAAAGCAACAGTTATATGAAAAAGTATCTAAATGTGTGTATTTTTGTAGTCAATTCATCCAGAAAAATTTCTATGTGTACATTTTTATAGTCACTTTGATATAATTCTAAACACATTTATAGTTACCAAAAATTAATAAGTTTATATTTTTATCAATTAGACTTAATTTGATCATATATTATGAAGTACTACTTTCGTCCCTTAAAATTTTGTCAAGTTTGACCGGCACGGAGAATAATAAAGTGAAATTTTTGTGGTTGAGGTTTGTGCAAAGAAGAGAGAAACAACAGTAACCACACAATAATTGATTAAAAGGGAAATCGGCAAATTTTTGGGATGTCCCGAAAAGAAAATATGATAAAGTTTTAAGGGACGGGGGAGTATTTATTCATTTAATACAGAATAATTTGTATCGAGGTTTGAATATTGAAAGGTTGATTAACAAATCTTCAATTTTTTTTTAATTTTATATATGCAATATTGGTGTCAAATGAAAAATCGTAAAAAATTATGAATTTTGATATATCTTTTATGAAAATCGGAGAAAAAATGAAAAAGTTACAGCAATTTGAAGAAAATGGTTTTTTTTTGTATAATGGGACCCATATGAATAGATGCCACGTTTCTAATAATACAACGGAGTAACAATGCTTAAGGTTCTTTGGCTTAGTGTTCCGTTTTAATCCTTCAATTTGCCACATGGCATTTGTATAACAAATGAGTGAATTATGAAGAGAATGACACATGGATCTTTTAAAGGACAAAAATGTATTTTAATGAGCTATTTGTTTTCATATATATATAAATAGATAGACATGCAGTGTAATATATGAATGAATAGATATGTTCTCTGACATAGTTTTCTAAATAGGTGTAAAAATTGTTCTAAATGCAATAATAGGACTCCAACACTATAATACGCACAGTGCACATGTAGCATGAGAGAGATTAATACATAAATATTAATGAGTTATATATTTCTCACTTTATTTGAAAGGTCTTATAAGTTTTTAGTAAGTTTTTCTCCACAATGTTAAGACGAGTGTGTAGATGTACATATTGTGGTTGACATTGTTGTGAAAAAATTACTAAAATTATATAAAACCATGAAAAGAAAGACAAAGGAATGTGGATGATTTATTTTTTGTGTCTCTCTCATGTCACATGTGCGCCGTGTTCATTGTTGCATTGATCAAACACATAAATCGATTTACTTTTTAATCCCTTATAATAATATCTAAAAATATACTTCCTATTTTCTTGGTCTAATCTTAGACCTACCATATCTTTTATTCATGTTTTATTTTTTGTTCTATCTTGTGCTCTATCTTTCATTCAAGTTTTATTTGTATCATCTGTGCTCTATCTTTCATTCAAGTTCTGTTTTTTGCTATCTCGTACTTTTCTATTTGGATAATAATTGGGAGTTGAGGGTGCTTTTTGTTGTCAGATTGAATGGAAGCAACCGGACTAATTAGGTCGATAATAACTTTGATTCAGCGATTAGTCTCGTTCATTTTTGAGTGGTATATTATGTGTCTGATCAAGGAGTGATAGACATATTGGCTATACGAAGTGTAGAGGGGAGACTTGGTTTAGTGACAATGATGTTGGATGTTTGATTCTATTGATTTAATATAATATTTTTCTTTTCAAAAAAATCTTGCACCCCCACCATACATAGTTCTCTATTTCATAAAAATAGTCTGAGTTCAAATTTTACTTCCAGATTATTTGTTGAATAATCTATTACTCATATTCATATTGGAAAATGAATCTTACATGAGAAAATTGCTCTTGGTAGGACCAAAATATACATTCTTCCAAAAATATGACTTTATGTTTGGTTTTCCTTAAGTAAAACTAATCACCGATCTACCCCTAATTTAATTAATTAATTAATTAATTAACCTAGTTCTTTTGCATAACCATGTCAATCCGTTGATGATAGATCTGTCTGTGGCGGTGGCACAAAATTCGGAGACGGTGTGGGCGGCAGAAATCTGCCATATCAACGGAGGCATTCTGGATTTTTGTTCCATCACAAATAAAAAACATTACTCCTCTTCTTCTTCTTCCTCCTCCTCCTCCTCATCATCATCATCATCATCATCATCATCATCATCATTACCGCAGTTCCACAAAGGCTCTCACCTATGGTGGGGTATAGGGGAGTCGTATGGACGCAATCGTACCTCTGTACTAAAGCACAAAGAGACTATTTTCTGGACGACCCAAAGTGAAAATCGCGTTGAAATTTGCATGGATTGATTGCTGCTGCATAACAAAGAAGCGCATATAGTTTAGTGAGTCGTTTTGTTTTATTCCGTCATTTTCCCAAGTCAAAAAATAGTGAGTCTTTGGCTACATTGCAAACAAAAAACCTAACTCCTATGAAGGTTTAAACTACTTAATCATTTTTTTTTTGGAAAATGGATGAGTTTTAATCTACACGGATGCTAATTGTACACGGCATTTGTATACGGCATTTCACACGCCGGTCAAATTGTCTGTGCAGAAACAACTTGACCGGCGTTTTGTGAAGACAATATTTTTTGTATGTACGAAAAACGATTTTCTTTACAAAACACTGGTCAAATTGTCTATGCATAGACAATTTGAACGACGTGTAAAATGTCGTGTACAAACGTTGAGTTTCTAACTTCTCCCATCCTAAATGGCTACATGTGACCCATATCTTTTTCAAATGTATAGTATATTGACATGGATATATAATTTTGTCGCATTACGTTGTTTGGGGGTGAGAGGTGGCTGGGAGTGGGAGTTCAACTATCAATGCATTAAAACTATATATACTCGATCATTGAATGCCCGGGTTTAACCTTTCCAATTCTCAACTCTCATGGGTAATGAACTAGTGCATTTCAATTCCAATCGATCACAACTATCTATTTAAAGCGCAGCCTTGGTTCAAGGCTCTTCAGTGCCAGTCGTTATTCGATTCCAAGTCTCCCCATAATCTGTATTTTGCAACAACAAAACATCTTCATAGTCAGGAAAAAATGCCTTCAGGTCCTAAGAAAAGGAGAGCTGCCAAGAATAAGGAAGCTGCAGCCAAACATGTTTCAGGCAATAATGCACATCGTATGTAACCTTCTTTTCGTTCTTTTTTCTTCTTCTATGGGTATTGCAATCCCTGTCATTTGTATGTTTATCTAAGAATATATTTGGCATGAACAGATTTTGCAGCAGAGGTTTCTGAAAATAGTGTGGAGTCTTCGGAGGAGCCATCATTGACTTTGATGAACAACATTGTTAGCGATGCTTCCATTAATGAAGAACCTGGAAAGGTTATGGATGCATCACTTGCTCCCCAGGAATTATCTCAGGAGTTGGTTAATGGCAAAGATGACGAAAAAGCGTCGAAAGTGATCAATGAATGCTGCATAGCCTCACCTAAATCAGTTGAGGTGTCTAATGACTTCCAAATCTGTAACAATGGCGGTCCCTCTGAAGGAAAAGCTGAACACATTTCATGCATATGTGTTGACAATGGTACTATCATTACACCTTTTCAGTGTTCCTCTGTTTCTTATTCCTCTGGTCCTCTGTGGTATAAAGTACTCTGTAATTGAGAAATATTATCCTCCATTTTTTTTAATGTCAACGTGTTGAAGTTTATACTATTCACCTGCTCTACTTTAACTACATTTTATGTTATGATTTTATGAAAATTATTTTTTAAAAAAGTATTGTTCAATTCATCTCATTACAAATTTTTAAAATCAGTTTTTTAATTTTTTTATTAATAGAGATTAAGATATAATTGCGTTCAAAGAAGTGCGTTGGTAAATGCAAAATGTTGACCGTTTTAACTAAAAAAGAATGGAGGAAGTATATATTTTCGAAAATTTATATTGACAATGTTTCTCATCATCTGACTTTCTGTATAAATTAACAAATAAAATTTAGTTGCCGAAGTGGTTATGGTTTTTGACAGTATAGTAGGAAGACGGTAACTTTTCATTAGTCACTACAAAGTTTATAAGTACTCCTTACGTTCTTTTTTAGTTGCAACGGTAAAAATTTCACATTTTCCAACACACGTCTTTCACTGTAATTATATCTTAATTTTAGTAGTAAAATAAATATTAAAAATCTGATGTTGAAAATTTGTAATGAGATGAATTGAACAATATTTTTTAAAAAATAATTTTCATAAAATAATAGCGTAAAATGTAGTCAAAATAGAGCATGTGAATAATGTAAAATTCAACATGTTGTGATTAAAACGGACGGAGTATAGTATATAGATTGGTTTATGTGTGTGTGCTATGTGCCTGTGTTGTTTAATTTGTGATTGATGATGATAAATTTTTCTATCTAAAAATATTTCAATTAGGTTGCATAAGCAAATTTTCTCTAAATATAAACATGATGTGTAAAAGAGAATTTCAATATAATGAAAAAATATATGTTCAAAATTAGAGAATAAAAAACTGTTGAAATTGTATTGAAATTTGAATGGTGAAAACTAGAAATAGCACTCAATACTATAATTCCGACCTCTTATAAAACTTCAACATTTTATCCTTCATTTCATGAGACAGATCAGTGTTTTTCAAAAACTTTATATGTGGCATTTCCTTTCATTTTTTACAATGTCACAGTGATTGGGGCGAATGCCTCCATCGGAACACTAGTTGCTGCAGACTCTCTGAAAGGGGATGATAATGGACCAGAAGAAATTGAGAAGATTGCTTGCATCGCCGAATCTGAGGTGATAGACTCTGTGGAAAGTGTTGAAGACTCTACCATCATTGCGGCAGCAAATGCCTCCATCGGAACACCAGTTGCTGCAGACGCTCCAAAAAGGTTTGATGATGCGCCCGAAGAAATCGAGGTCACTGGCATTGCTGAATCTGAGGTGAAAGTCTCTGTCGAAAGCGTTGAAGACTCTGCCCCCATTGCGGCAGCTGTGCAAACTGAAATCTTGGAATTGATCTGTCAGAAAGATGATGATAACATGACAGAACAGTTAGTGCCTAACAATGAGGAGAAGGATGCAGTTGTGTTGTCTGAGGTTGCTGCTAAGGATACTGTTGAGTTGGTAGTTCAGAAGGATTATGTTAAAGTTGTGAATGGGAATGAAATAACGTGTGACGTTCACCGCAACGATGATGGTGATCGGTCTAAGGTTGTTGCTGAGTTACTAGCTTCTAAGATAGATGAAGTGGTCAGTAGCATGTCTGTTGCTCATGGTGGGAGATTCATAACCCATATTAAATTGATGCTTTCTGCCATCGGCCTCAAAGATTCTAATGAACATTATGGTAAGTTGATGGAGCTGGTGGAACAATTTGAACGTGAAGCTCAGGAGTTTAAGGCTGTTTTGTTCATGCTCAGGGAACTTAAGATGTCTGCGGTGGCTGCTCTTACTACCTGATCCAATTTGGCATTCTGCATAAAAGGATGTTTTCAATTTTTTGTGATTGAACTTTCTGCATCGGCATTGTTTTGTTCAGCTGTATGAATTCATAAACATGCTGTTTCCCTTCTATTTATGGATCTACTTGGGAGCTGAGGGTAATTTTTTGTAGCTCTTTAACAAATGCCTGTGTAAGCTTTAATTACATGATTGAGCATGGACGGATTCAGAAAATATAGTTATGGACTTAAGTGCACCTCATAAGTAAAGTCATAAAAGATTAAAACTATGACATACTCTCTATAATATAGATTTAGAACATGCAATGCATAAAAATCATTTGTAAAGCAGTTTTTGCCTCTGATAGTTTGTTTTATCACAAGGTACACCACAATTTTTCAAATGATAAAAATATGGAAATCGTATAATACTCATTGCTTGAAATAAAAACTGATAAAAATAAAAATGATGTCCTAATATATTTTAAGTTCCTGTCATCTTTTTGATATTTTTCCTAGTAATTTTTCACTTTTTATAGTGCTCTTCAACTCACCAATTGCCGATAAAAAAAATCAATCAAGCCATTTAATTTTATCCCTACAAAGATAAAAATACCTCATAAAAGATGAAAATTAATGTAGAGTTGAAAGTGAGTAAACGGAGAATCCAATAAAGTTTCCCCTTTCATATATGCATCAAATTCATCCATAAGTTACAAAATCATTTCATCTCACGTAAATATTTTTCACAAATTCACATTCGCTATTTTATTGTTTATCCAACCATGACTCCATCTATAATCAAACTTTTATATTTTCTCTCTCTTTCACTATTCTGTTTTCTATAATTTTCCTTCTTTATATCCCCTTTCAAACGCACCAGAGTGAGGCACACCTTAAATTATAAAAAAGTTATTATCCCAAGAGTAAAATAATCATAAAGTTCCAAAATAGGAGTTGTTAAAGATTTATTCCCTAAATAGGAGTTTTTAGCTCAGTTGTTAAAGATTTATTCCCTCTTTCGTCTTTACAGCTATACTATCCGTGTATGAATTAATTTCACCCTTATTTTTTCTATCTTATCTCTTACTTTTCCCCCGACCGCACATTCTCCCCCATCCTCTCTACCGATCCCTTCATCCTCTCTCCTTTTCATCTTTGATGTGCTTGAATTTACACACTTCTTCGATCAATTTCTCCGTCTCCAGCAGGTTATGAAGCGTGGACTGCGGATTTTCTCCCCGTAACCGAACACCGTCAGTAGGCGGAGGCCACAAACTTGGTAAGTCATGAATCGTGATGTTATTCTTTTTCCTTCATCTCCTCTTCTAATTCATCCTCCTTCTCCATTCTTACTCTTCATCGATCATTAAGCACTAAACCCCCTTTTTAAAACTTGAATAGATACTTAGTTTATTCCTTCAATTTATTCTTCCAACTGTAGAAATTAAACATGTTGTGTACGATATTTAAAATTTTTAAACTGAAGATAACTCATGCTATTTGGTACAAGTTTATTCGGCCACATAGTGCTTCATTGCAAATTCATGCTCTTCTCACTTTCAAGATAATTCTTGTTTTCTTCTCTTTTTTTCTCTTTTGTTTTTTCTTTAGTTTTTGTTTTGACTATTTTATCTATTAAAATATAGATTAATTTTTTTCATTGATTTTAGTAAATTTTTTTGTATTTTTTCAGATCAATTTTATGTTTTGAATATGAAATTGGCATATTAACTATTTTAAAGTAATTTTTATGGTATTAAGATATAAATATTACCTCTTTACAAATACTAATAATGCCAACTTTCCCCATGTAAAACTATTATTTGTCACTTAGTTCCATTTGCATGACACTAACAGCCAAAACTGTTATCTTATTATTATGGGAGAACTATCGAATAAGCCCTCGAATTTACTTAAAAAGTGCAAATAAGCCCTTTTATAGGAGGCTCTGTCCGTCCGTCGCCATTTGGGATGGTTTTCAGTGGATTTTTTTGATTAAATTTTTTTACTATATTTTTCATTAAGTCTAGATTACCCATACCAAATTTCAGCTAAAACTTCAACCGAGAAGGTGATTTTCTGAAATATATTGCGTTGTTTAACTGCGCAGTTATCTTCAAAAATTCATTTGAGTGCCTTTCTGATTGAATATTTAGCTGAACTTTGGTATGAGTAAACTAGACTTAGTGAATAAGATGCTCAAAATATTTCATCAAAAAATTCCAGCGGGAACCGCCCCAAATGGTGATGGCCGGACTGAGCTTCCTATAAAATGGTTTATTTGCACTTTTTATGTAAGTTCGAGGGCTTATTTGATAGTTATCCCTATTATTATTACTCCGTATTATTTTATTGTGTTTCTAATAAATCAGTTAGAGTTTTCATTAAGGGTAAATATGTCAACTCAATGTATATTCGCTCCTATTGAACTATGTGGAACTTTGGAGTCCTAAAATTGCATTTTTGTTAAGTTTTAGTCCTAGTTGAGGATTTAACTCATTATAAAATAATAAATATTCAAATCATGATTGTCTAAAAATGTACTTAAACTACTGCACATGATCTTAACCTATTATAATAAAGGACAGTTTTTCCTATTAAATGCATAGTTGTGTGCTAAACCCTTCGAGACTATGCTTTATCTTGATCTACATTGTGTTAAAGATGACCTACACAAAGTATTATTCATCGGTGAAATGTTTAACGATCGTTAATTGGTTAACAGTGTCTAAGTCTACCACTCTGAACAAAAACTAATACAGACTACTTCTTTTTCGAATCAATTTGTGAAACCAAAGCGACATAATTTTCTAAACTCCATTCTAGAACTTGGAGCATCAAAATATATTCAGTTTCAACTCAGAAGATATTATGCTCTTCCTCCCGCGAGAAGCTTACTTAGGGTTCTCATCCACCTCACGCAACATGGTCAACATTTTGGTGAGTTGGCTATTTTTCGATGTTTGTTGATTATTACGTACCATTGATAGATATACTGTTAATATTGCAACTCTTTGCCTATGTTATATTTGCCTATTTGGTGCATTTTATTCTTTTCTTGCTTTTGTTTTCCACTTTTCGATTTAAGTTTCTATTTTATTTATATTACCTGGACAGGATTAAAACTTTACATAACAATGATCACAATTCACGCATGCAAGGTGTTTGAGAATTTGTCTATATAGAGCCTCTATTAATTATCCAACTGTGTCATCCATTGACCATTTAGGGAGGGGCGAATTTAAAAAACAATAAAAATTTAAAGAAGGAGGTTCCAATCTCTGCTTCAATGTCCAGTTCTTGTTTAAACATGCATCGTTGTTATACTATTGTTTTTTGTTATGATTGCTAAGCTGATTTTCATCTCCAACAGAAAGTTGGCAACCTCCAGAGATACCATTAATAATGCATGGTGACAAGGATAGTCAGCAGCTAATGTGTAAAGATGTGTTTTTTGATTGATAAAATGTCACAGGTAGTTGAGAAAATGCCTCCTCATCAACGGTCCTCACAATTTTTGCATTTGATTACATATCATACATCTCACTTCAACTCCTTATGAAAATTTATGATCAATAATATAATAAACCATAAGTAGAACTAAAAACAACACATTTCATCCACTTAGGTCATTATTATTGTTTTTAGTGATTCACTCATAGAAGAAGAATGATTATCTACTTTTTTGTAGGACTAAATCAGTTCTTTTTTGCACAAAATAAAACAAGCAAGTCTTGATTGTGCATAGTTGCAGATGTTTTTACTCCTATTTACTGTAAATGAATTTTTTTTAAGGGCACACCTCCTTAGGCAAGACATCTTGTGCACGATTGTGCTTTTATGTCATTCTCAAGTCACAAAAAAAATATTTTTATGCTTATTAACTACGTGCAACTTCACCAAAACATAGAACATGTAACACATTTTATATCTATACAACTATACAAGCTAAAATTCAATTACAAACGGTGCTAGAAAATTCACAAAAAATCAAATAAATTTTAGCATTGGACATATTACACTCGCACAACACGCGATCAAATTTCTAGTATCAACTATACGAATTGGAACGTTCATATGTATTTTGATTTTAATTTATTAGTTCCCAAAATATAATGTCATTTTTTAACTTTTCATTTCTTTTAAGATTTAAAACTCAACATGTGATTTTTAGAATTGTGATTTATACTTGATATGATCAGGTCTAATCGGGTCACTCACATGATCCTAATTTTAATTTATTTTTTACATGTTAAATTATTTTTTCTCCTCATTGTGATGCTATCACTTTGTTCTTTTCTTCAAATTAAGAGGCCGTTTGGCAACACTCTTTTTCGGCTTATCAGGCTTATCAACCAACTTTTTCACCAAACACGTAACATTTGCTTTCGCTCGTTGAATTGTGTAATAAGCAGAAAAGTAAGGTTAGAGTTACTTTTCTGGCTATATTGGCTAAAGTTATCGCATATGACCATTTTAACTATTTTTACATATAATTTTTTCTTTATTTTATTAATAAAATATATTTTAAAAATATTTTTTTCTTAAATCAACATAATCAGCCAATGTAGCCATTTCAGCCAGAACTTTATAAATTTCAGCAGAATCAGCCAAATCAGCCGATTTTCGTGCTACCAAACAGGATCTAAATTGCCATCTCCAATGAAAATTTGATTAATCTTGAAAATAATCTTCAGATTTTAATTTAGGTGGTTTGTTATTAGTTGGTATTTCATGTTTTTGAATTTTCTCAAAATAGAAGTAAGGAAATTGCAAAGTAGTAGTACAATATATACTTCCCTAAAGAAGAAGTAAGCTAGTTGCCATTATTCTAAAAATGTATTATCCTCTCTTTTGACGTGATCAGCCATTAATACTACATTATAGTTGTAATTATCAGTTTTTCAAGCATATCGATCAGTAATTGTCCCTACTTATGAAAATAATATAATACTCATAGCTTGAAATATCAGTTATTATGGACTCGAAGTGTTAAAAAAGCCGACTGTGACCCACATATTTGGTTTGAGAAATGAGGGAAAATAATTAAAATACCTCAAACTTTGAATGTGTGTGAAGTGAACACCCTAAGCTTGCATATGTAATTTAAATACCACGAACTTTATATAAAAGTTATTTTAGCACCATACTCAAATATTATTTCTTTCCAAAATGTAAACTTAT